TATCAGCAGCTGCATCGAGCTAGGATGTGCATCATATAAGCAGCCACCAGTTCCCCTGCAACCCGAAGGGGTCATCAGTCATCAGCAGCAAAGCTGTTTGCCACAGACCTAGCCTGCCGAGGCGAGTAGCGAGGCGACAACCCCCAGGAGGTACAAGGAGGCCTCGCCAACAAGCCTATGGTAACGTGCTCGTCTTCCCGCCGTTTCAACGAGGCGATTCCTCCCGTTAACCCGTCAGCCACCGGTTGAAGCCACTAGTGTTCGTGCTTATACTATCGCGTCGACGTTGTGCTGATGATGCGTTGCTTATGCCCGTGGCCTCACAGTTCTGAGCAATAGACAACACCTCATCATCGCAGTCCTGGAAATCGCAGCATGGACAACCCGCCGTCTTCAAAATTACTCACCTGGAGTCTGGTCGTTGCTTTCTCCATCTTTCTCCCAGCTTGCTGCGAAGAATGCAGCTGATGCTTATGATGCTTTTCAACAGCTGATGCACGTTGTGGAGCCCAGTGCACTCAGCCTCGCCCTTTGAAGCTTCTTCCTGCTCCTATCCCACGTCTTGTAGCCAGCCAAAGCTCGGCCAACTAGCGAACAGGTTCACATAGAGGTGCAGGCAGGTACCGCTTGAAGCACAGGTTTGGCAAATGCAGAGAAGCGGGACAACATCTCGGCCGAGAGCTCATCCGCTGCGGCCGCTGCGGTACTCGTACCTCTAAGCCCTTGAACCCGCTGGCAGAACTTCCGCTACACACTTCCGGATGGCACGGTCGACAAGCTTGAGCAAGGCGTTCCGCGCAGCCGGGGGCTAAGCGAAAAAGCACGACTCCTCGATCGTATCCTGCCTCATTTCTGCCAGAGGCTGGGATCAGTTTGCGCGGATGCCCAAGGACCATTCCCCCAACTCTGTGCTAGACATGCTTTCTGTTTTCAGTTCTGCAGGAGGGCGTTTTCCATTTCACCTACAAGTGTTCTCCACAGGAGCAACTGGAGGGTTTGTTGCCTGCATTTGCCGGATTCTAGCTTGCCAGCTAGTCCAGGATGTTCGAGACAGAGTGCACAGACTATTGCTTTCCGCGCGTGGCATCGTTGAAAGTTGAAAGCATGGACCAACTAGAGTCTATAAACAAAGAAGTCTGGTTCCCAAAACACCTGGATCGACATCAAACATGTTGCGCAGGATCGTCGGTTTTCCCTCAGAAAATCCTTGCTCTTCCAGTTCGGGAAGTGGAAGGTCCATGGCACAGTCTTTGCTGCGCAGTCCAAGTGCTCGCGTTTGTAGGTGGACGTCGCAGAGGATGAAGTGAATTGGTGGGCGGCTGCTGCAGAGGTTAGCTCGTCAGGTCAACGCTCGTTGGCTGTGTTCGTGCAAATTGTGAGGCACCAGAAGATGTGCTGGAGTTCCTGTTCTGGATGCGCTCACGATTCCGAGACACCCAGAAGGCCATGCATGAGATCGATCGGTGCACCAGAACGAACAGGCAGTGGCAAGAAGTGTGTTGCAGGCGTTTGAAGCCTTCGACGGTGCTGACGGGAACGGCCTCCTCGGGCTGCGGGAGTTTGAGGAGTCCCGGTCTTTTGTTGCAGTTTGCGGGGATCTGCTCTGCTCCGTGCGAGGAAGGGATGAAACAGTTGCGGGATGCTTGGAGACACGAGAGCGAGGGCGACGGCATTGCAAGATTTGGTTTGGGACTGAACCCTCAGCCGGAGGAAGTGCCAAAAGTTCCGTGGCCGTGATGAGAAGCAGCGCTGGACGGTGGGAATGTGTGCAGGGTGCTTTGTGCATCGGCGACGGGTCCAGTGGAGTTCCGCTGCTCATCGAAGGCGATCTTCCGGTTTCTGGATCCCAGCGGCGAGGGGCAGGCCTTCGGTCGGGCGAGGGAACACTCCGAGAGTCCCGAGTCCAAGGTGTCCAAGGAGGAGTTCTTGACCTTGGACAGCTTCTGGGCCGAGGCCTTCCGCCCCGCGCTTCTGCACCGGCGCCCCGCGGCGTATGGTGTAAATTGAGGTGGAGTTCTCCATCAAAGAGTTCCTCGACTGGTCGAATCGGAAGTGGGCATCTCGGTGGAGCTTGGGCATTGCAGGCCGGCAGCCTTCGGCAGGTATGGCAGGGACCTGAGGACCCTCTGGAACGCCCTGGCCTCTTCGTGTAGTCACACTGTCACTGTGGTCTTCGACATGTGGCCACCGGGCCGGTCTTCACGGTGAAAGGCTCTGGATGAAGATGGGAGTGGTGCCATCCAGCGCTTCGAATGGGAATCTGTTCTCGACAAGGCCGAAGCTAAGCGCTTGAGGCATTCCTCAAGACTGCAACAGAGCGTGAGGTTGGATACTTCGGGCCGTCCGGGCCCATCTTCAGCTATGTCGACGAGGCGGCCGCGCGGGGGGAAGATGTGCAGTTGACTTCATCTGTGACTCGTGTGCGACTCAGGCGTCCCTGTTCGGAACAGACTTGACTCAGAAACAAAAATGTTCAAACCTCTGTCTGAAGATGATGCGCAAACAACGTCAAAGCCCACGCAAATGCCCTCCTCAGACCAATTCGCGAACAAGCGACCCTGGATCGTTGAAGACGGCCGCGGTGCACAGATGGTGCCGCGCGGAAGTGGTTTGCACACATGGGCGCATGCGGGCAGACAGCGGTCATGAACGCGATCTCTCGTGGCTTCACGAAGAGCCAGACCCAGTCAGACAGCCCAAAGAGAGAGATCCGCAGGAAAAGGTGTCGCATTTTTGCCGATCTGCTCGCCCTGCTGGCGTATACGTGCATAGTGTAGGGTGTTTTTTAGTGCCATGTCTTCGCTCCAAGAAGCCCGAGGATGTGCCAGTAGTCTTGCAGGGACACGTCTGTGGCGTCAGGACGATGGGGGCGAGATCTCCTGGAAGGAGTTGAGGGCTTGTCTCAGCAGCCTGCAGCAGCACGGAAGGCGCCGCGTCGGGCTGAGGTTCCAGCTGCTCGGTCGGTTTCAAGACGCGCCCTGCTCCTGAGCGTTGCAGCATTGCCGCATTTCGCCGCTTTTTACGTTTTAGTCAAAGCTCGAGTCAAAGCTCGCCGAAGCTTTGCCAGCTCGCGGGCCACGCCTGTCTTAGCTCATGAGCGCTCACCTTCCATAAGGAAGGCTATTGAGTTATTTAGGCTTCTTGTGCGTACTCCAAGAGTTGGTACCTTCGGAACTTCGAGACTAAATCGGAGGAAAAGATGCCGCAAAAAGCCCGGAATCCGTGGTGCGAGGCACTTCAGAGTTTGGTCACGCAAAAGCTGCAGTGAGTGTACAGCACAGCATTTGATGCCCAAGGGCCCGACCATAATCATCCGTAATTGGAAAGGAGTTCTGGCTGGAGCCATGTTGCATGATGTGTTCTTAAGGTGCAGTTCGAGTCCTGTCCGTTCTGTCGCCGAGGCATGTTTGGCTTGACTTCTTTCCAGCAGGTCGAACATTCGGCAGACCAGCGGTTTGCTCTCCAGGGCCGCGCCTGCTTGTGCAGAAGAGCTGCACAAGCTGAAGCATGCCGAGGTCATGCTTCTGAAGCACCGCCGCCTCGTCGCCTGCAAGGGCAGGTTGCGCAAGTGGGACTCATGTGTAAGCTCCGACGTGGCTGTAGCGTGGAGAGCCTGGAGGAGATATCGAACTGTTCGTGAAGTTACGAGAGCAGTTCCACAACGACGAAACATATGGATTCCCGTGCTGGCGAAGGACGTGCCAAGACAGAAGCCTCCCCCCGCAAGAATAGGATCTTACAACTTTACGTGGTTGGAGCGAAACCGAGAAGTTGGAAATTGGATTCTTCGTTCGTGATCGAGAGGAGCGGCGAAGATTCGAAGGAGCTGGCTTTGGACAGCTTCGACGAATCCACATCCACTGATGCCGCAGGCTTCCGCTGAAGTGAAGAAGGATGATTCATGATAGGGCCAAGTCGTCACGGCTCTGCCTTTCTTTGCACCGCCACGACGGACAGAGGCCAGAAGCATGAAGATTGTTGACTCGTGAATGTGAAGTTTGAGACCATGGCGAATGCTTCACATGATCTGGAGATTTCTGAGATTGGCCGCAATAACTGGACGATGGCACTTGCAACGACAGCTACTGGAAGGCACGTTGTGTGGAAATACGATCCCTTTACAGGATACTCCGGGCCGATCTCGGCGGTGCTTGAACGAGGCATGTTGCCGACATCAAAAAGAGGATCAAGACGCCCATGGCAGCAGAAGCAACATGCCCAAAGAATTCACTCGTGCGTGATCTCTGCCACGCACTTGTTATGGAAAGCAGTTGAGTGAACTGCAGGGGACATTCCCGATGCACCTGTAAAAGTCCAAACGGCCAAGACAGTCATGACGATGGCTGTCACAACCTACAACAAAGCGGGCCAGCAGACGGCTAAAGCGTGCTCATCCACGAGAGCCTCACGCTTCCTCAGACAGCTGATGCGGTGAGCGTGTCCAATTCTTTGATTTGTCTGCAGCCATCGAGGAGCGTCCGGTGAGATCTCAGATCCGCTTCCGCCATGACGTGGAAGAGTTGGGAGTCACAGAGATGCTCTAAAACCTCTCAGGAACGATGGGCTTCGGCTGCGGCCATCAAACAGACGGTTTGTGGCCGAATGTATCAGCAGGACGTGAAAGATATCTTCACTCTCGAAGAGGTGGTTCCAACTCAGCCTGCCCTTCCAGACGAAATCTGAGATCTGAGTATGCGAATGGTTTTGATCTCCCCACATGATGAGATACGAATCAGCGAATCCACGTTGATCCTGTCTCGAAGCACCTTAGTTGACTTGTTTCTTGAGCTGCGCGGTCTTGTAGTTCCGTGCACGGGCACTTGAAACAGTGAGGGGTGGTATATGGCGACCCATGAACAAAAGCTGTTGAGACTCACGGCTTCGGCTTCGGCGCACATGAATGTTGCCATGTCCCGCGCGGGGATTCATCCCAACGAACTGCTGCACGGGCTTCGGAGCTCGCTGCAGGCCAGAGCCGTTGGCTCAAACTCTGCGCCGCAATGGCGCGTCTCAAGCTCCTGCTCTTTCAGGCCAGCAGAGATTTCCTGGAGGGCGAGCAGAAAGGGGTAGGACCGGGTAGACGGCGCCTGAGGTGAGCGCCTGTCTGGGCACGATGGAAGAGAGGAGTTACGAGCACTTCGGCCTCTTGAACCAACTGCGGGCCGTGCCTTGGTAGCAGCTGCAGCGGTGCAGAGTGATGATGCGGTTTTTGGTGACGTCCTTTGCTGAGGCCGGCTTCACCTGTCCTGGCGGCAACTCGTATGCCCCAAATGATGTCCCTCTCAAGTTTGACTGCCGCTTGTGGGCCGCAGCGCAGCTCCACTCTCAGGCACAGCGATCCCGATGTGTAGCGGGTCGGCGAGTGTTTTTCGGTGCTTGGAAGGACATGGCAGACAATGGGTACTTCTCCCACACGAGCCAAGATGGTAGAAGCCCATGGGACAGAGCTGAAGCTCAGGGCATCAGATCCTTGATCTATCAAGACCAGTAAGACAGATCCCTAGAGGCCCTAGCTCGTTCGCGAGTATCCGGATCTCAAGGAGCCAACGGTGAAAATATTGCTGCGGGGCGCAGCGGTGCTGAAGCTGTCTTGGAACAATGGAAGAACTCTGATGGGCATTGCAACCAGGCCGCAAAAGGAATGGGCGGAGCAGGTAGAGTCAGAGTCTTCTTGATATGATATGGCTGATATGGTCTTGTAGTATTCTGAATCAAGACCAAGGCAAGAACATGATGAATCCGGGCTTTCGCGTCTTTGCGGTAGGCCATATCTGGGCCTCTGATGGGAAGCACGTAGGAAGCGGACTCAGTGCTTTTGCCAGGCTATGCCTACAACTCCGGTTCAAGATACAGGCACTACTGGACCCAAATGTTCAAGAGCTCGGATGTGTCCGATCTCGATACTTCGTGCTACATACCTGAAGCTACTACGAGCACCACTACCACCACCATAATCACTACGACCACCACCACCACCACCACCACCACCACTACTACCACGACCACCACCAGCACCACTGTCAGCACAGCGGCCACAAGCGCCAATGCGACTGATAGCAACACGACGAGCATCGCAGCCCTTGCGCCGACAACGAACAGCACAACGTTCAACGGCACAGGCGAGGCACATACGTCGACCACACTTGCCACAGAGTCGACGACTGCGCCAAACCCAAGCACTAGCGTCACTTCCTCGATGGCCGCAGACCAGGTAAGCGGCTCAGCTCAGGATCGGCTCGGGCCTTCCCCAAGATCCAGCAGCTTGCAGAGGTCGAGACGACGTCAGGCTCGGAGCAGAGCACCGCCACCTTCGAAACTCCACCCGGGCTTCTGCAGCTTAGATGCAGACATGTACGGGTACGCGCTGCTGACTCGTACTTTCCTGCGAGGAAGGGTCAGATCGTCGTGCGAACCTCCCACCCCGGTGGCTTCTTCGCATCGGAAGAGCTGCAGGAGCTTGTGAGAGCCTTTCTCGAGCACCTCGTCTCAAGCTCGCGTATTTGCTGAAATGTGGCCAGCAGATGCAGTACTGTCGAGGCGCCTGGGCGACGGATTGCTGCAGGCCTGACGTCAAGTCCAATCACGTGCAGACGCACTGGTCATAGGCACGAGCAGAGTGAGAACATGAATAAGTCGCATACCATGGGGTATATGCGAACGTCGAACACCACTACCTGACTACCTTACAACGTAGTGAGATTGGCATGCGTGCCGGCGACAAGGGGTTCTGCCGTTAGAGCCGCATCATGTCAGTTCGAGAAAGCAAGCTTCTGCTAAAGACAAAATCCGCCGAGCTTGAGGGAGCTTTCTTCAACCGCTGGAATCTCGCGAGTCTCGGAATATGCGAAGCTCCTTGCGCTGAGCACAGAGGCGATCTCCTTCTCGCCGGCTGCGGCGCGGCGCCGTCTGCGGCGCCTCGAGGAGAGCACGGCGACCGACGCGGTCACCGTCTCCTTCACTGCAGAGGCCAGGCCCGGCGGTCACCGCGGTCTTCCGCTCTTAACCGCGGCTCTTTCGTCGCCTGTACTTGTGCTGCTTGTGCTCTTGGTCTCAGGTCCCTGCTGGGCGCGGCGAGGAGGCGGCGGCCAAGCTCCAGGCGCCTCCCGAGGTCCTGGAAGCAGCCCTGGAGGCGGCTGCGGCAGAGGCAGAGGCGAGAAGTGCGGGAAAGCGCTTTCTGGGCGCCTCCTCCGGCCTTGGGTGTGCGAGCGCGAGGTGTCTGCAGACACGATCGAGGCAGGGGCCCCTGACATCGTCAGACCGTGAGGCGGTGCCCCACTGACGGATGCAGGTCCGGTCCGTGATCGTGACGGAGATCCTTGAATTGGAAACCGAGGGGTCACAGCCCCCGCCAGTTGCGGCAGATGGGACCTGGCTCGTGATTCTCGCAATATTGCTTTCAGGCCGTTTTTTGCTTTTTTAAAGCTTTCCGACGTGGACCTGTCCCCAGTCAAGATTCATTGTGAATCCATTTCAGCCGTGCAGGGGCCCTGCTGATCGCAGCAGCCGTCCTGGGTACATGGTACTTCTTCAAGCGTGGAAGAAACAAGAAATATGCCGGAGGCCAAGGCAGGGAAACTCCACTGCGAGCACATGCACGACAGATGTGTGCCAGAGCGACGCAGAGAGAGATGGAGATGGAGTATCTCACACGGACCCTTGACCTTGACAGCGCACGGCATCACCCGGGGGGGTTCTCCTGTGTATTCCTCTAGTCTAGTCTGCTACAGAAGAGCCTTGATCGTCTTCGGTCTTGGGTGAGTTCTTGCTGGAGCGTTCGCTGATTTTTATCTGTCCCCCATTCCGAGGTCGCGTGCTTGAATATGCACCTGCGAAGACCCATCTTCTTCAATTCTGAGTGCTTTCGTCCTATCCTTGCCGCTCTATAGTGGCCAAAGCTGGTGTTGTCCGATCGATTCTGGTACCCTTTGCTTGAATTTGCCTTGTTTAGGCAACAATTTCGGCAGCTCATGCTGGTGATGCTCTCTCTGTATCAGTGCAAAAACTGGCGCACTGATGCTCATGATGCTTGGGTTGGGTTTGTGGTCCAGTGAATGCTCCTGAGTTGAAGGAGCGCAAAAGCAACCTCTGCTATTCGAGCAAAAACCGGTGCTGCTGATGCTCATGGTGCTCGGGTTGGGTGGCCCGCTTACGCTTCGTTCATGCTCGGGTTGGGTGGCAGATGCAGACGCATGGATGGATGGCTCGATTACAGCTCATGCAAAAACTGGCAGCTGATGCTTTGCTCGGGTTGGGTGGCACCGGATCCCAAGCCAGCACGAGCCGGCACAGTGCTGCAGCCCGATCGCAATCAAGGCGCCAAGTGGCCCAGCTGATGCGAATGATGCTCGGGTTCTCGTCATTTGCTCCGCTTGCGTGGCAAACAGCCAGCCCTGCTTGGATAGCTCGATTTCAACCTGACACAGCTCGTGATGTTCGGGTTGGGCAGAAACCGTTGCTGTGCTCATGATGCGGGTTGGGTGGCCGGCTTGTCATCCGGTCGGAGACGCTCGGGCTGAAAGCAAAAAAAGGCACAGCTGATGCGCATAATGCTCGAGTTCGCCATATCTAAGCACAGCGAATCACGACCAAAACTGGCGCAGCTGATGCTCATGACCCTGGGGTTGGCAAGCACAGCTGAAGCTTGTGATGTTCGAGTTGGGTTGCCCGTCTCCAAATCTTTGCAAAGGACAAATGCAGCTGATGCGTTTGATGGCCCACGCAATTTAGGCAGCTGATGCAAGTTGGCAAGGGCACCTGATGGCAAAGGACACGCGCAGCTGATGCTTGTGATGCCCGAGTTGGGTGGCCCATCGCCAAACCTTTGCGAAGGACACGTGCAGCTGATGCTTGTGATGCTCGGGTTGAGTGGCCATGCAATCAAAGCAAAAACAGGTTGATAATCACAATGTTCACAGCCTTGCAAAAAGACATGCGCAGCTGATGCTTGTGATGCCGAGTTGGGTGGCCCGTCGGCAAATCTTTGCAAAGGACAAGCGCAGCTTGTGATGCTCGGGTTGGCTGGTATGATCCCAATCAATGCAAAAAAAATGCGCTGCTGATGATCATGATGCTCGAGTGGGGTGGCCACAAGCACAGCTGATGCTTCTGATGCGCGGGCTGGGTGGCCCAATCTAGGCAAAAACTGGCGCAGCTGATGCTTGTGATGCCCGAGTTGGGTGGTCCGTCGTCAAAGCCTTGCAAAGGACACGCGCGGCTGATGCCTGTGATGCCTGAGTTTTTGGGGTGATGGCTGGCTCGATCGCAATCAAGGCAAAATTTGGCGCCGCTGGCTCTGATGCTGCTATCGCCAAAGCTTTGCAAAGGACAAGCACTGCTGATGCTTGTGATGCTCGCGTTGGGTGGCCCTGGGTGGCCCGTCGCCAAACTTTGGCAAAGACAAGCACAGCTGATGCTTGTGTTGCCCGAGTTGGGCGTCACATCGCCAAAGCTTTGCAAAGGACAAGCGGAGCTGATGCTTGTGATGCTCGAGCTCGATCCGCTGATGATGCTCGAGTTGGACGGCACATCGCCAAAGCTTTGCAAAGGACAGGCGGAGCTGACGCTTGTGATGCTGGGCTTGGGTGGCCCGATCGCCATCGAGGCCAAAACCAGCGCAGCTGATGCCTGTGATGTTCTGGCTGGGTGGTGTGATGCTTGGGTCTCGGGCACAGACGGGTTGGGCGGGGCGGGCGGACCACACGCCCCACATCTTCCAGCCGCTACAGCTTCGACTCTCGTCGAGTGATTCATGGAGAGACAGTGACCGCTTTACCGCTTACAGGACAGCAAGAGGGGATGGGAGAGCGTAGCGTCAACCCGCAGCCCAGCCCAGCCCCACCGAAAGCACGAAACAGGCTCAGGCCGGAACAGATGGGACACCTTGTAGTAGATGCGCTTCCCATGAACCATATTGCCGAGAACATGGGGGCATGGAGACCGGCACACCATATTGTTTCTGGCGCGTGCTAAAGTCTGAGAGCTGGAAACCCCGTTTTATCCCGCCGCACAGCAGCCGCAGCTTCCTCAAGGCTGCAGCAAAGATTCAAACTGGGGCACGCTTGTGTTGCCAGGCGGAGAGATGCAAAGAGCCTTCTCTTCTATTCCAAGCTTTCATCGCTTGCCCGAGCAGTCAAGAGACAAGAGAAAGAGGGACATGGGGTTCGAGGGAGGCAGAAGACGAAGCAGAGTGGCCTGCGGCCAGGGGCTACAGATCCGCCGGACCAGGCGCAACACTCACAAGCTCGGAGCATTTGAAGGCTGCGGTTGCGAGGCACCGCCGACGAGCCTTCCGGACTTGTCAGGAGAGGGGTGTCATGAGGCACGGACTGTGCCGAGTTCGTGCCTGTGTGAGGACCAAACGTTCACAAATCGCGGTCCAGCAACAGCAACATGATTACCTCCCACCTCTGAAACATGCCGCCTGCGTTACGCAGATTTGAGCACCAAGAGGGGAAACTGTCAGGCTTCGGCAGGTTAGTGCGCAAGAGTCGCCCCGCCCTTCCGGCAGTCCCCTATGTCTAGGTTTCAGAGATTGTCCAGTTGTGTGGAATTCCGTTGAAGAGCGTCTCCCCCAAAAGGGGTGGGGCAGCGCTTCGACTCAAACCCTTAGTGTACAGCAACGGTACGAACCGTGGAAAGGAACATGAGTAATGTGTCGCAGTCAGCCTTGAAATTTGTGCCCGGCTCAATATCAGCTTCCACACACATGAGAGTGCGTCCAGCAGATTAGACTGATTAGACTCTTAGACCGAATGAAGTGGTTTTACCCCCATGTTGGAGCCTGCCGGGCTTACAGGCTGAGACAAATTGAGTCAGCACTGCTATGGCCGTCGAAAAGATCTTGGCCGCTTCCAACCCCTTTGTGCGCTTGGAGCTCGAGCTGGAAGCCGTAGACGTGGCTGTCGTGCGAAGCCATTATAGACGACTGGCCTTGGCAGTGCATCCGGACAAATGCAAGGACTTAGGGATGTGGAAGTGCACAGGCTTGGAGCTGAGAGTGAGAGTGATTGTGCTGCCAAACCATTAAAAGGGGCAAGTGTAAGTGATGCAGCCTGACGAGCTGTGCCGTTTAATTGGGGCTGGTTTGTTGTAACATGTTGCCTGCAGGAGCCCAAAGCCAAAGAGGCGTTCCAAGCCCTCAGCGAGGCCTTTGAGCGGCTCTCTTCCGCTGTTGGACAGGCGCAGTGCTTGAGGGAGGCAGGGCTGCAGGCCAAAGCTGCCGCAGCTGCCGGCGCCAAGGCCAAAGTCAGCCGGTCACGCGGTTCTGGTCCGGAACCGGATGGTGGCGCCCCGACGGCAGAGGATCGGAAGGCCCGCTGGTGGGATACGAAGACCTGGGAGGAGTTCGAGGAGCGGCTGCGGCACAGGGAGCGCGCCGAAGCAGCCCTGCGGCTCCGCTACTGCAGCGGCTTGCGGCTGCGGTTCTCCACGAAGAAGATGCGGGAGCAGGTCCGTGCTGCCGAGCGGTCGGTGGAGCACCTGGACCGGAACTGCGGATTGGCGGAGAGTTCCTTGTGGCCGCCGGAGTCCACACAGGCGGCGCGAGACTTGGAGGAGGAGGTGCAAAAAGCGCGGCAGACCGAGCCCTGGCCCGGCGCAGCCAACGAGCTGTTGGTGGACTACAACGAGCGTCTGGAGCTGAATGACCCTCAGATGGCCCTGCAGAGGCTCCTGGAGCTGCTCACGCACCTGCGCGCCGTGCACCGCTACTGCTTGTTCTGCGGATGCACCTACGACTCGGCTGAGGACATGGAGGAGAATTGCCCCGGCATCACCGAAGAGGAGCATGAGGAAGCCAGCTCTGCTGGACTCAGAAGCTCACAGAAGAGCACAGCGAGCACCGCAGCCCCCGCAGCCCAGCCAGAGGACCCCCAAGAGGAGGAGGATCCGCTCGAAGCTTACATGGCCTCTGTGGAGGCCGAGGCAGAGCGACAGAAGGGAAAACGCAAGAGACCTCGCTGAGCCCGGAAAAAGGCAAGCCGGAGTACCAGCACTAGGATACAACAGGTCTTGTGTGACAGGGTCCGTTCTTGGTGTCGCCCCTTCTTACACTTGCTTAGAGTGCAGCTTGCGAGAAGGGCTCAGATGGGGCATAAACCGCATCAAAGGATATGAAAGGTATATCACAGCGTATCTCAGCCGAGCATCGGCAATGGGAGAGAGATGATTGTGCATCGTCTTGCGGGACCGAAATCAGAACAGTTTCGTTTCGCCGAGCCCATGGCACGCTCGCTGGCCTTCGTCCTCGTTTGTGCCGTTTCTCCGGCCGATGCAGACTGGGCCTGGGGATGTTTTGTTTCAAGTCGCAGCGCATCAGCGTATCCCAGCGTGAGAGTCAGCCTGCAGAGTTCCTTCGGAGGCACTGCTGAACTTGATACGTCACGCGGAGCGATATGCGGACAAGTCGATCACTTACCTGGCGCCCGACGGCAAGGACCGTGCCGAGTACATCGCGCGTTGTGCTACGGAGCCTCGCCGCAGAGCATTTTGTTGCGCAGACAGCGCTCGATTCCTGCTTGTGCCCCAGGCAAAAGCGCCAAGTCTGATGTTTCCACGGCCGCCCTCGGCTCTGCTGGCAGGGAAGCGAGAAGAACTCACGGGGCACAACTCAACACGGCCGTGGGAGACCTTGCACCCCTTGGCAACGACACTTGGCAGTGACAGGGATGCGCAGTCTTGACGTGGAACTAGAAGTGTAATGATCTGCGGAGCCGTTGGTTCAGGAAGTCCGGCCTTCGACTTGACAATCATGTGGCTTAGCTAGATGATGCCTTATGCACTCGCCGATAGGGTCTCAGCCTGACGTAACGAGGTGGATTTCCAGGATGTGTTGGGCTTCAAGGCCTATCTGAAGACCCTTCCGAGTGGAAGCAGCGTGTTGGTTGCCTGGGAGCACAAGATGATGGGCCAGCTGGCCCAGGCTGTGGATCCAGAGGGCCTCGCACCTGCAAAGTACCCAGACCATTGCGACTCAGAGTGGAGAGAGCCTGAGTATACCATGGGTGCCTGCTACGACGTGATCTGGCAGTTTGTGTTGTATCGCAGCCCGGGAGAGAGCTGGCGGGCCAAAGCCTTTTCTCATTTGCACATGGGCTTTGCGGGTCGCGGCTCCAAATGCGCCGAAGCTTTCGAGCCCTTCTCCAATCCCGGCAGCTGGCCTCTCATGGAGGAAGGCGGTGTCTCGATGGTTGCACCTGGGATGATCCCAGCGTGTGCCCTTGGCTTCTGCTCTCTCCTTTTCGTGCTTGGTCGCCTACACGCACTTCTCCCCGTTCAAACCCGAGGGACCCGTCTTGGAAAAGAGCCGCTTCTAGAGAAGAGCCCATCTGAGAATTACATCCTGGTCTGCTGATGGACTGAGCTCCGCACACGGTACCGTACAGACCTGCTTACAAAGCCAAGAGATCGCGCACTCATACCTTCAGCCGATGCTATAGATCTTCCTCTAAAGGAAGGATCGTGTGCAATATTGCAACAAGTGACTCGCATGGAATGCAAGAGGCCCAAATGTACAGTAACTCTTCCGATGCCTCACAGTGCTTCCGAGCGGAGCCCGCTTTGTGCCTGAGAATCAGGAAGCGGAGGTTCAGAGCACCTCAGAGCCGTTTCCCTGGCCTTTGATTCCAGGGGCTTTCGAGGCAGCTGTCGCATTTCAGGTGCCGCAGGATTCGTGAATTTTATTTTTTCGCTCCACACCGGAAATGCGCCGCCGCGGCGTGCCGTGCACTTGTTGCGATCATGACGGCTGAAGGAAGAAAAAGCAGGCTGCCCATCGTGGCTGGAATCCAGCGTGGAAGCCCTCCCCCTGGTGCTTGTTTGCGCTCCCCCTGGCACCCACTTCTTCTCCCCGACCAACGTGACGCAGCTGCTGGAGAATGTCCGAACAGTCCAGCACCCCTTGGCCACGCGAATGGCAGCTTGGCTCTGCGCGTCAGCCCAACACACACACCATCGCACACTCTTCATGGTCCCAACCTGAATCCTTCACTAAACTGACAGGCAACGACGCACTCTGGGTAGTTCCCAAATGCGCAGAAAACCTGGCCGATTCTGCATTCTGCGTCTGCTTTTTCTGTGTGCTCGTAGTAAGAGCTTAGAGCCCTGGCCCTCAATGTGTTTCGAAGCTTGGCAAAACCTGCAGTGTGCCATGCGAGCACTCAGGCAACCCTTATATCCCCTAAGTCGAGCCCTACCCCTAAACGCAGCTGTTTCACTCAAGTTCGCTACATGTCGGCTGGTAGGGCTGACAAAACCAGGGCCGAAAGAAAAAGTAAAAGTTACTATTCATCACCCTTCCTTCTTGCAAGGTCGAGGTCATTCTAGGTCTGGCAATTCGAGGTTCCTTTGTTCTGACTAGTGGCATCGGCAGTGCGGCAACAGTTTCTTGACATTGTGCGACTGGATGCGGATTGCACGAGAATGATTAGCTACGTGGCTATGTGTGTCTGCTTCTCAAGAAGCAGTCTCAGTGGCTGGGTTGTGTCGCTAAACAGACTATTGGGTGAAGGTTTTTTAGAGGATGTGCAGGAAGCGTGGTGCTGCATACCGGAACGGGGGTCAGCCACTTGAAGTGTTGAAGCAGCGTGCTCCTCAAGACGCAAGTAGAAAATCCCGCGTGGTTGGAAATTGAGCTGGGTGCGCGCCCAGCATACTTCTATTGCCATGGCATTGGTCATGTGGGTCGAGGCCTTGGGTATTGCTGTCCGACATTCGTCTTCCTACTTTAGAATAGTCTCAATGGTTGCACCAAGGAGCAGTCCACAGACGTTGGACTATGCCATCGCCCCGGCTTGTTAGTTAGGACCGAGTGAATATCGTCGAGAAAATGTAGGGATTTTTGGCCGGGGTTTTGCCTATTGGCTGCGGAGAGTAGGAGATAGTAGGAGCTGACCATGGCACAAAAACATCAAAGCTTCAGAAGGTGCAAGGGTTGAGACGTGAGTCAAATCGCAGGCTAACGGATTTTTGGTGCCAGCACCGCAAATGTAGCACCGCAAATGTCGTGCACAAGAGTGCTTTCCACATAAGGACGACATATGACCATGGGACGTTCACATTGGATCGTGTTTGCAGGTGGAAATTCTTTTGATGGAGTTGGCCTCGCTCACACAAGAGAACGAGGCGCAACTCCATTTGGAGTTAAGGGAACGGCGCAGTCCTGATTGTGCATCCATCAGATGTTTATTGCTCCCACCAAACATGAAATCAGTCCCGGTATAAAGCAGGCTTTGCAACGCCGCAACCGTGAGCTCGAAAAGGCAAAGTGCTTGGACTGAGAATGTTTTCTGCAATTTGCTGGTGTTGTTGAGCACTAGAGAGCCTTGGACAGGCCCCACACAAAGTTAAAGGTTTGATTGGGTAGCAGACAAGGGGCCCCTTCTTTTGAAAGCAGGCCGCATTCGACGCGCGAAGCCAAGCCAAGAAGGACTGCATGTTGCGCCATTTCAGAACAATCCTCATCGGATTCAACCGTTCCTTATCTTCCTTTGATCCCAACAACGGTAGGCTACTTATTTTGAGACAGCCCAAAATCAAGTAGAAACTTACGAGTACCATCCAAAGAGTGAAAGGCTGGAAGGCATGCAGAGGACATGGGGCGATTCTGCAGTCAAAAGGAACCCCCCCAGCTAAGTGCGGCCCAGCCGTCCTCCGCTTAGCAATGAGAGATCCGGTTTCACAGCCACCTCCGAGTCTTGCGTTGCCAGCCTTCCGGACGAGTAGTGAGTAGTCTAGGGCATGTGCGCATGTACATGTCCATCGCTGCACGCAGGAAGTTGGGCTTCTGATCGCCCAGCTCGAGGCATTGCACGCTGATCAAGTATCACTCAGATGCCACGGCGAATGGCTTGTGCAGTCCGGGATTTATGCCACGATCAGGGCCAGGCTGTCGCCTACGACAACCAGATTGAGTCGTCGCTTGATTGCAACAGCTAAGGATGCTTGTCTAAGTTACGCAGCAATGCAGCATGCTCAAGTGGTTTTTGTTCAGCTTTTGGTTCGTGCTTGGCCCAGGTTTGAATGCGAGCTCCTGGCGCAGTTCTAAGATCCGTGCATCAGCCGTTTTTCCCTTGCTTTAACAGTGCCACAACGTCCCAGGCACTGCGCCAACAGTTCGACCCTCCCTCGAGCAGCAGCCAGGCCCATGGTTCAATCAACAAGAGCCTGTGTTCGCTTGCTTTAGCTTTCGAGCAGGTCCAATGTGGCCTGCTCTGCGTTCCAACGGTTTCGAATGGTCCTGTTTTGGCACTCGGTGTTTTTGTCGCTCCAATCGATGGTCGTGGTTATATATTCTGCAAGCTGCTGCGTGGTCAGGGTTTCTACTGGACGGAGAGCAATCTGTCCTTTGCAACCACGAATTGTTAGCAACACCATGTCGTGCGTAACAGACCTAATTGCAGTGTTACGGCTGTTACGGGCCTTGCAACGTTTTCAGGACGTGTCGTGGCCTTACACCGATGGTAGGCCGAGTTGCAGGTTTGTTTCAAAGCCGGGGATTTTTGTTCGAAGCTGCTTCGCTTAGCTGCTTAGGCGCATGTTGGCGCTTCAGATTTTCATGGGCCTTGAATTGGTAGTCTCATCGCCCACGGATGCTGATATCATATCCGATGTGACGTCCGATGTGTCATCCGCGGATGTTGGACACGCGTGACGTCGTTCTGAGACAGCAGACAGCAGACCAGGCTTAAAGTTGAGGTGGACCTTGAAGAAGAGCATGCCCAGAATCGACGGCTTCAGGAAGAAAACAGTCGACTTCGCTATGAGGCAGGGCAGTTCGATACTTTGGGTTTATGTGTGTCAGGTCTGAGTTCTTTTGGGTTTGACGCTTGGCAGTTGGAGCAGAAGAACAGATCATGGTGCCTCTTGCGGAGCATGACCTTCCTGTCTTTTGGGATGATGCGCAGCGCGCGCTGTCTGCTTCCAAGGTCTCCTCACATGGCGGTGGCCGTGGTCGGGAAGGTCCGCCTAAAGTGTAAGGTGTGCAGCATAGGGGCTACCGAGGACTCCCAAGCAAACTTTGCTGCCTGACCGACAACTTCAGCCCTGCCAACCGGGAACCTTGTAGTCAGGGCGGTGTGAACTCGAACTTCTGGTGAGCGCCGGGCTGGGTGGCAAGCTTGGTTAAAGCAAGGGTGTCGAGCAGCCCGGCCGAGGTCATTATGTTGTCTGTCCGAGTGAGGACGTCGCAGCAGTCATGTGACATGTTCATGCGCTGCTCCTTCAGTGCCAGCGACGTTTTCACATGAATCACCTAGTGAATGCGATGTTGTCACACGTATCACCTGTTGCAGTTTCAGTGATTGCGATGTTGTTACATGAAGGTTGGCTGAAGAAGCGTTGTTCGTAAGACTGAGGTCATGCGGTGTCTCTGGGTTGCATGCTGTGGGAATATGTTCAAGTCTGCAGCAAGGCATATTACTCCCGCTGCTTGTCTTCGGCCAAATCAGCAAAGCTCCCCATTTGCATCTTGCGCCACCAACCAACCGGGCTCCAGCAATGCAGCTGTTGAGCCGCCTCCTGAGTCCTGAGATTGCTCGATTGTGTGACGGGTGTCATGTCGTGATGTGCCCATCGTGCTAAGGCCTGACATTGATCGTTCCCCTTGCAGCTGCCGTGCGCATCTCAGAGGCCATCAGCTTTTGGGAAGCAACCCTGAATCTGGGTTTCCTTTGCAGGAGTGCCGTAGAATAGACCCTCTGAGCCCCAAGCGCACGACGCCGATAGCCCTTAGTCCCTGTACTAAAGAAAAGCACACGTGAACCCACACACAGTTTCAGATTGGAGGCCTCACACGAATGGCCGATTTCATCTCCGCGTTTTAATGCTCAAGTCTCAGACAAATCCCAACTCCGAGAAGCAATGGCCCATATGCAGAATGCAGTGGTAGTTATGAAGAACGCAGTTGTTAGGGCCGATTCGCCGCAGAGC